TTAGAACATTATTGTGCAACCAATTCCAGAACTCTTTAACATTCACATAATTGTGCAACCAATTTCCAGAACTGTCCTTATCTTGCAAAACTGAAACTCTATACCCATTAAACAGCAACACCTCTTTCTATATTCTGTTTCTGTAAATTTGACTACTTAAGTACTTCTTATAAGTAGAATCATACAGTATTTGCTTATTTGTGTCTGGCTTATTTCACTTAGTGTAATGTCCGTAAGGTTTATCCATGCTGTAATATGTTTCAGAATTCCCTTCCTTTTTAATGCTGAATAATATTGTATTATACATATGTATATATATGTATACACACGCACCACATTTTGTTTATCTGTTCATCTGTGGATGGACAATTGGGTTGTTTCCACCTTTTGGCTATCGTGAATAACGCTGCTATGAACAGGGTTATACCGGTATCTCTCTGAGACCCTGCTTTCATTTCTTTTGGATATATACCCAGCAGTGGAGTTGCTGGGTCATATGGTAATTCTATTTTTCAAGTTTTTGAGGAGATGCCGTATTGCTTCCCACCGAGGCTGCACCATTATACACTCATGCAGTCGCCTACTCCAAGTGATCTGTGAGGGTACTCCCTTCCTGGCCTTGAAGCTCGCTCCCTGAGATACAAGTGAATTGCATTTTTCCCTTCTTCCCCCCTCCCCAGAGAGAGTACCCAGCTCTGGGCTTAGCCCTCCCTGAGCATTGCGGGTGCCCTGTGCCCTTTGCTGGTTGGGCAGGCGGCAGCACGGGGTCCACCCATCTGGAAAGAGCCATTCAGTTGCAGAGGAAGCTTTCTGCTCTCCACCTCTGCATCCAGGCTGCAAGGCTCCAGGCTCCCAGGGTGGGGCTTCTTGGAAGGGCGGCTACCTGGGATGTGATGAGTCATCTCAGACTGAAGGCACTGGGACCAGCCTGGTGTCAGGATCAGTTTGGCTTCAAACCCAAAGTTCAGAGTTTATGAAAAAACAAGCCCTCTTCTTGAAAAGGGCCTTTCCTAGAGCAGGGTGTTGGCACAGAAGGGTCCCTCTGCGGGTGGGAACCGTGAGGCAGTGCCCCGCACTTCCTGGCAGGCCTGGCTTCCTGCCCACCCCACAGGGCTGCATTACAGTCCCTTGGGGCTGGACTTGGGAGCAGCCTATCTCCACCCTGGATCTGGTGTTGTGGTTTGGCTACTGGTGCAGAAAAGCGCTCACAGGGCACAGGGTGAAGAACCCAAGGGTTGGAGTCCCTGGGTAGGTTTCCAATCAGATGTTTATAGACAGGAAAATGGACCTTCATATTATGCAGAGAACAAATGTAAGGTAAATATGCCCCTGTAATGGGCAGAACTGGGTGACTGGACTGTGATTTTGCTTAGGAAAAGCCATTGCTAGCTCCAGGAACCTTTTTGGTTTTATGTAGATTAGAAATGATTTTATAGAGGACCACCTCTACTCTGACCTTTCATTTCTCTGAATCATAACCGCTTCCTTCAAAAAGGAATTATCTCCATTATTTTTAGATAAACCTTTAAACAGTGAGATGCACAAATCTTAACTGTATAACATGATGAGTTGGATTAGGGTAAACACCCATGTAACCAGCACCCTGATAAAGGTGTGGAAGATGTCTGTCACACAGAGTTCCCGTGGGTCCTTTTCCAACCGATCACCAAGTCAGCCCAGGCAACCACTAGTTGTTTCCTGTTAATATAGATGCATTTGCTTTTTTTTTTTTTGAATGTCATATAAATGAAACCATACAGCATGTACTTTTTGATGTCTGGCTGCTTTTACACAATATAATTTCTGAGAAATTCATCCATGTTATTGTATATTTAAGAGTTCTCTTTTTAAAAAAATTTTCTGAGTAGTATTCCATCGCATAAAAATACTACAATTTGTTTATGAATTCTCCACAAACTATTCTTTAAATGGAGAAGGAGAAACCCCTCCGGCTCTACACCTAGCTTGTGTGCATATGCTGTTCACCTGTGAGTGCTCCGCTCACGGCCTACACACTAGGCCCGGGCTCCCCTGGGGTGCAGAGATCAACCCAAAAGGGGCAGGGAGGATGTTGACAGTGCAGGAAAAGGCACACACGTGGGAGAGACAGCCAAAATGTTCTGATGGTTCAGAGGTAAGCAGGCTTAGCTGCCCCTGGGAGGGCTGCAGAGGGAGGTGGCTTTGCTTTGGGCTTTCAGGGAGGAAGAGATTTGGAGTTCTCAGGGAAGCATGGTAGGGAGGCCCCTGCTGCAAGAACAAACAACTGAAGCGCAGGGAAGGCGGAGGCCCCACAGACCCTCGTTCCTGGATTCACTACTTTGCAGTGGCCAGCCCAGCAGAGGCTTGGGGTTGCCAGCTTGAACCTCCCAGCAGCTGGCATCGCCCCTCCTGGTGCTGGACCCAGAGGTGGGGCAGGAGGGAACCAGCCACAGCGCATGTCTCTGGGGACCACAGGGCAGCCGTGTTAAAACAGACCCGCTCTGTGCTTTCCGGAGTTGGTGGTATTCTGCCATCTGCAGCTGGTCTCCTGGGCCAGCCCCCGAGCAGTTGTATGTTTGTCCACCTTCCTGCACGTCTAGGGAGGCGGGGTGGCCCAGCTCAGCGTGAGCGCTGCGGCCTGCCTCCTGATCCTTGCTCTGCTCCTCCTCCCCTGCAGTCCTCCACAGTGAGGGCTTTCCTCCTGGTCGTCAGGCATTTGGCACGGTGACGCCAGGTGACCCGGGTAACGTGAATCTTTGTGTTGAGCAAAGGCCTTCACGTTCTGTGCCTGCCTGTCCCCAGGCTGAGACACCTGACCTTTAGTCACTCCCCAGGACTTAGTCACACTCCAGCCTGGCAGAGGGCAAGGTCACTGAATCTGTTTGCGTTGGACTCTAGCTAAGAAAAACAATCATAATTCCTTACTTTGTATTTGCAGAGCACTTTGTACTTTGTCAGGCATGATCAGGCTTGTGGTTCCTGCCAGCCAGTGCTTGTGCGGTACCTACTGTGTGCCAGGTGTGAAAGGTGAACACGGTCAGGTTGATGCCTGGAAGGAGACTGCAGTCTGTGGGGGAAATGTGTGAAGAAATGAGGACACAGGACTGTGTGTAGACTGGAGCTCAAAGGAGCGAGTGGTTGGTCATACCAGGAATATCAGGAAGGGTGTCCCAGAGGAGTGGGTCAGAGGGTGAGTGGTGATTTTGGGGAGGACTTGGTGGGGAGGGTACACTCCAGGGGGGAGGAGCAACTTGAGCAAGTCAGGAAGGCAGCCCCCAACCCAGCAGAGGGGAGCTGGAGGTTGGGGTGGATGTGGTGGGTGGGGTGGGAGTTGAGGCTGGGGGTGACAGGGTGGGCCTAGAGACCCTGGTACGGACCCCCTGGGGACTGGAGTGGAGTGAGATTGGAGGCAGGGAGGCCAGCTGGGAGGCTGCCGTGATCATCCACTCAAGAGGTGAGTGGTAAGGCAGTAGGAGGAGGAGGAGGGGAGGTGGTGAATGTCAAGGACTTGGGTGTCAGGTGGGTGTCGGGGCACGTAGAGTAGGACATAATTGAGGGTTCTACCATTATACATTGCCTCAGTCAGCCTGTCTTGAGCGCTTACTGCATGTAAAGTGCCACACGGGCACAAAGACAAGATGGACACGGTTTCTGCCCATTGGGACCGACAGTCCAGAAGGACAGCACACTCTAGTCAGGTCCGTGTTAGCTGCAAGTGACAGAAACACAAATCAAACTCACTTTGACCAAAAAGGAAGGAAGGGAGGAAGGAAGGAAAAGAAAAGAGAAAAGAAAGAAGGTGTGCCTGGGGGTGTTTATTGGCTCATACACTGGGAAGTTTCAGGGGGTAGGGCTTCAGGCAAGGCTGAATCTAGGTGCTCAGACAATGTCTTTAGGAATCTTTTCCGTCATGTCTCATCTTTAGTCTGTGTGTGCACTTCATTTTTTTCCATGAGTAAGGGTTATTCAGTGTTTTTTCTGTCCTTAAAAAAAAAAAAAACCTGCCACAAATATAGTTATTCTTGACAGCATTCATTTCTAGTGAGTCTAACAATGCTTTCCCTTGTTTCTTACAGAATTTTTTTTTTTTTGGTCTTGGAACTATGCTCTTATTTTATTAATATTTTAGAAATTTTTGACTGTTTTAAAAAACCACATAACAAAATTTTTACCATCTTAACCATTTTTAAGTGTGCAGTTCCGCAGTGTTATCTGCAGTCACACTGTGTAGACGTCATGTGAAGGCAGGCTTTCCCTAACACTCCTAGGCAGACCTGGGGGCCAGCTCGCCAACCCGGCGGAAAGAGTAGCAGTTCCGAGACTGGTCTTGTTGCCGAGATGGGGCTGTGTGCTCACTCTTGGCCAGTCAGTGTGGCCTTTGTGATCGGCTGTGATGCAGGAGGGTTGGTCAGAGGGAAAGTGAGGTGCCACTGCTGAAAGATGGCGAGTGGGTGTCCGGGAGGCGAAACCCGCAGGTGTCTGCTGCAGGCAGGTGAGACCCGACCGCAGGTGACTCAGGCGAGGTAGAAACGGTTTGGCTCCACGGGAAGGGCTCCTATAAAATGCTGTGTGACTCGAGCACCTGCTGTGTGGGGTGCTGTGCTGGGGACTGTGGCCACCCAAAAAGGCTCACCTTTGCCCGCCTAGAGCTTTCACTAGTGGGGGAGAGAAGGGCTGCCAGACCGCAGTGCAGCATGGAAAGTGGTCAGCACCTGGAGCGTGGATGTTTCTTCTCTAACACCTGGAAGGAGGTTCAGGAATGGCTTTCCCAGGGAGTTGGACTGGGGGTGGCGTGGTGTGGTTCCCCGCGTGGGGCCGGGGTGCCTTCCGTTGGCCACTGCTTGCTCTCAGCCACCGCTAATACCACCGTTGCTTCAGCTTCCTCCCTCCCCTCCGCAGACCTCACCTCCCACTGGCTGCTCCGGAGCGTGTGTCCCCTCAGAGGAGCCCACCCGGCCCGTGGGAAGGGCCTGGCGCTGGGGCCTGAGCAGGGCAGGTGTGAGCCGCTCTTCCTCCCGCAGGCCTCTCCCTGGAGCGCCTGCCCAGCTCCATCGCCTCGCGCTGCCGCCTGACCGAGAGGGAGGAGGAAGTGATCGCCTGTTTCGAGAGGGCCTCCTGGATCGCTCAGGTGTTCCTGCAGGAGTTGGAGAAGGTGAGCTGGGAGTCACAAGGCCATGGCAGCTGCTGCCGTCTGTCCAGCACCTGCTGCCGTCTGTCCAGCACCTGCATCTACAGGCCCCCACCGAGCCCTGGGTCACCCTTGTGCAAACTAGGAAAAGGCGTCCCCCGCCTCCCGCCCCCTGAAAACCCTCTACTTCATCGGTTGGAAAACCCATTATGGTATACTGATTCTGTTGGAATAAGACTGTTTAGTGCCAGAAAGTAGTTGTGTTTTTTTTTTAATTTTATTTTCTTATTTCTTTTTCTAAATTTTATTTATAAAAAATATATTTCTTTTTCTTTCTTTTTTTTTTTTTACCTACCAACAGCAAGTTCATTACACAGAAAATAGTTTTGATAAACAAATGATTCCGTGCCATCTGTGGGGCATGAGGAAGTCCTTGGTGAACTCACCTTATACAACCAAACGTGACAGCCCTGTTTGTATTTGTTAACGTGCTTGCTCCTCTCAACAGCCCTCTGAAGTGGGCATGTGTCTCTCCCTGTTTGAGAGACGAGGTTTAGGGAGAGTAAATCATTTGCTCCCCACTCTACCCTTGGAAGACGCAGAGTCGGGCTGGTTCCTGCAGTTAGACGTCCTTCCCTGCTCTTGATGTTCCAGAAGCTCCTTGCTGGGTCCCCTAGGGAGGTCTCGGGGCCCATTCCCCAAGCCTTTGGGAGGCCAGCAACAAGCTGGCCAGCAGGGCTGTGGCAGGTCTCAGTCCCTCGTCTCTCCGCTCCCCATGGTGGCCTGCGTGTTAGTAGTGTTCCGGGTGAGCCTCCCAGTCCTCTCCCTCCAAGGGGCTGTTTGTTGGTTTACTGCGAGGGGGACAGGCACCTACATTCGGTGGAGATGCTGCTAGCATTTGCTGACTGCCTGTTTGGGTGTCGGGCACTACTCTGAGTGCTTTACACTCGTTCTGTAATTTACAGACACGGACAGGGTGAAATAGGTACTGTCGTTATTCCCATTTACAAATAAGAAGACTCAGGTTTGGAGAGGAGTTAAGTAGCTTACTGGAGTTCATACAGGTAATGAGTGACATTGGCAGGACTGAACCCAGGGAGTGCGGCTCTGAGTACTCGTGGGGGACACCCCGGGGGTGGTGCTGAGGCATTCTGTTTAGTAGATGTTTCAGGGTGTTAGACGCGGTCCCATAGCAGAGCAGACGGGCTTGGCGCCCTAAAGGCGGAAGCGATCATGAGCTGGGAGAATTAGAGCCCAGGAGACACTTGCTCCTCACCTACTTTGGCACATGCCAGAGTGTCAGCCCAGCACCCGTGGTTGTGACGGGCCCTTGTTGGAGGCGTCCACCTCAGGCCAGGCCACGTCCCCAGATGCAGGGATCCTCAACTGCAGCACCGCTGACGTTTGGGGCAGAGGATTGTCTTTATGCGTGGCTGCTGCCTTGGTGTGGTGTGGGCTTGTTTAGCATCCCTGGCCCAACTGCTAGCTGCCACCAGCGCCCCCGCACCCAATTTGTGACAACGAAAAATATCTCCAGATACTGCCAAATGTCCCCTGAGGGCAAAATCATCCCCCAGTAGAGCCACTGCCCCAGGGTCCCTCTGCTTGATTGGACTCCTCGAGGAAAGGTGAAGGGGTTGAGGGGCTCAAGTGCCCGTTCTGGCCGAGGCCACTGGGAGACATGGCATGCTTGAGTTGACCTCCACCAAGGTCAGTGGTCATTGCCAGACAGCAGCGTTTTAGGAGCTCCTTCTCTGTGTTGCGTGTGCTTCGGGGAAACTTTCATGAAGAGATAAAGTCTGCTTCTCAGCTGGAACTGAGGCTTTGTCTTTTCAGGAGATTAAGGTGTTGAGTATAAGAGTGTCGCGGAATCAGTGCCTGGTGGCATGGGCAGACAGGCGGGCCGATGCCCGCTATCCCTAGTGGAGGGAGGGCAGGCCATTGAACCCTGTGCATTCTCTGAAATGCTGTGCATCCCTCCTGAGACCCAGCCCCGGCCTCTGAGATTCTAAGAACCTCTCTTAATCTACTTCGATTTCTGAAAGATAAGGTGGATGGATGGCTCACTGATTTTTTTCTCTCAATCAGACAAGGGAGGTAGCATACCGAAGGCAGGCCTGTCTGAATGGGACTGGGTGACCCTGTTAGCACTGAGGCTTAAGAGACAGCTCAGTGCAAATGTAATTGTTTCTCAGCTTTTCCTGGACCAAGAGTCTTAGCCTTGGGGATTCTGACAATTCCATGCTTGGCATGAAGAGGATAGTGCAGTGCCTGGCTATCATAGCGTAGGCACCTGCGACCGCCACTCAAATGTTTTGGGGAAGTCGAATCGGACCCAGTAAACCGTTAAGCTAGTAGCAATCAGCCTCGGAATCTGTAGCTGTTCCTAAGACTGTTGTGACCCTACAGCACTTTCCTTGACGCCTCGGTTTTCTTTCTTCTACATAAATGGCAGGCACAAAACCAGCCCTTCTAGGCGTGCCCGTTGGAGGTTAAGATCGTTGGGCGCGTTTCTGTGGCTATGTCGATGAAGCTTTCTCGTCCTCTCTTTCCTTACCCTGGGGTGGAGTGGGTCGGTGTGGACAGGCAGTGGGATCAGGAGACAGAGCCCCCCTGCCCTGTGGAAGTAAAGTCGGGGGGAGGATAAGGTTTTGGCACCACATGCAGGAGAGCAGGAAAGTGGTGCTTATGGAGGTGGTTTCCTACCGCATGCTCAAGGCAGGCCATACTGTCCGGTTGAAGAACGAGTGCTTCGTCACGAGGGTAGAGTATAGATTCGAGCCTGACCTGGCTCCACCACCACAACCGTGAGTGAACCTCAGGCAGGAAGAGAGCCTCTCCTGCGACCTCAGTGTTCTCATCTGTGAAATGGGCTCATTGATGGACCCGTTCCTACCTGATATAGGGTTGCTACTATCAGGACTAAATGAGTTAATAAGTATAAAGCTCTGGGGATTATTGAATAAATAATTTTAACATGGGGCTTGTTAGCATCTCAGCGTTTGATGCGGAGAGTGCCGCTCAGCCACATATTCTATAAAGGAATTGCACCACGTACCCCCAGGGCGGACCGGGAGGTGACAGGCTCACCTCCTCCACAAGCTGGAGTGATCTTGGCTCCCGGTCCCCCTCCCTTTGGGCCTCAGACTTTGACGACAGTGGCTCCTCTCTCTGTTCCCCCCTTCGCCGACACAAATAGCATCCA